ATGGCCAAATTATTGATGGCCCAAGCCAAGTCACAAATTGAAAAAGAAACTTCCGACAATTCAACCTCCTCTGAAGTATTTAACAGTCAAGATCTATGTGGTCCACAATTTCAAGATGCTCATGACCCATATGCCTAAACAGTCATTGGATTCCATATATATCAGCTTCAATCACTACTCTTCTTTTGAAAAAAACTGCTAATATATATTGACTCCCCATCAGTCAACTATGCAGTCACATTCTCTACCAAAAGTTTTTAAAAAATCACTATTCACTATTTATCCAAAGACAAGTTCAAAATAGTCAAAATCATCAAAAGTAATAAACAACACCCATATGTCTCCATGTGCTACTTTTCAATCAAATTCTAACTCCCAAGTCTCACAGTCATCCTCTTTTCCTATAAAAGAACCTCTCCAGTCAATTGCAACTGAGAGTTCCAATAACTAGGGCTGGGCATAAGGGTATCCGACCCGCACAACCCGCCCTACCCGACTCTATCCGCACACATATGGACGGTTTCGCAAATACAATAGGGTAAAGTGCGGTTTGAAATAATTCAATTTTGCGGTTTGCGAGCCCGCAACCCGCCACAACCGCCCGCACTATATATATATATATTTTTTGGAAAAACCTGGCCGTTCATTTACTTGGAAGAATTTTCAACTTCCGTTATATGTTCTGTATTTGTTTTACTTAATTGACTTCTAATCTTACCTAAGTTGCACTTTGGTTAATGATTTAAATGATTCAAAGTACTTTTTTTTAAACTTATTTATTCAAAAAAAAAAGAGTACTTTTTTTTTTAACTGATTTTTATGGTTGATCAACACAATGCTCTTATATTACAAAATATAAACTGTGCAAATCATGGATGTTAAACTGATGGGTGACATAAGTGACAATTTCATTCAATCGCAGTCTCAGTATGTGTGAAGCTAAAATTAAACAATATCTATGTTAATTTTTAAAGAAAAAAATTCAAATCGCTTTTTTAAAGAAAAAAATTCAAACCGCAAACCGTCCGCATATCCGCAAACCGCACTGCAGGCAGTTGCAGTTTGACTTTTTTCCAAACAGCATAGATGCTGACTGATCAAAACCGAACCACAAACCGCACAAATCCGATCCGCGAACACCATACCAATAACCTCAAAAAAATCTCTATATTAAAAATTTTGTATTTGGCTTCAAGTTACATATTTTGAAGTATTTTTCAATTTTCAATAAACATTATAAGTTTTAATTTCAAGTATTTAACTACATTTTGCAAGATATCGCACATCCTAACAAAATAATTTAAAATTTTATCAAATCACCGATCGACTGACGACGTCAATCGGCCGACCATTGTAAATTTTTCAAAAAATTTCAAGCCAATTGTTTAGTACTCAAAAACTACTTGCTCTCTACAATAATTTAATAAAAGTTTCAACATCCTCAATTTGATAAGAAAAATTGAAGTATCTTCAATTTTGATAAAACAATAAATGAAGCATTGAAACACTAGTTTTGTACAATTTTTCATCAAATTTAAATTTATTGAAACAAAAGATAAGATTTAAAAATTTTGTTAAATACATACACCTACAATTATCTCTATTATTTTTCCATTATTTGATGAGGTGGTAGATTTATCACCAAAGTTAACATCTCTTACGAATGCTCTATCAAGGCAGATTATAAAAAATAAATTAAAAGTTAATTTTAGACTTTTTAAATTTTTTTTAAAAGAAGTCTATAAAAAAATAACAAAGCAACCTTATCAAAAAAAAATTAAAAAATTAACTTTTAATCAACTTTTCAAAGTAAACCCAAATAAATAAATCTTTATGCTTATTCATTAGGAGAAAACAACAACCAATATTAAAAAGAACCAATCTACAAAGAAAAAATGTCTCTTGAGACACCACCATGTGTTGGCTCAATAATATTATGATTAGTGAAGGAAATAAAATCTGCAAATTCATATTAGTTGAGACATAATAAATTGTGTTTAACATGAGATATTATCACGAAATAACTAAGACCATCCAATAATTTTTCTTCATCTCTTTTAAATAATAACCGACTGATAGAGAATCTCAACAAAGAGGCTGTGTGCAAAACACACGAGACATTTTTTATTGAAACGACACTCGTTATATGATTAAAAGCCCTAATTACAGTGAAGTGGTTCTATAATGTCGGTTTAAGTCTGATTGTGGAGTGATGAAATTATGCTGTAATTACAATTCTTAATATTGTTATATTTTTGTAATATTAACTTTTTTAATTATTCCTATATTATATGATTGTGAATTTTAAACCTCATTTATTTTCAGAGATAAAATGAAAAAGATTCTGAAGAATTAATAATGAAGGAATTGATAGTGAAGGGATTAATAATGAAGTGAGAGGATTAATAGCGAGAAAATTAATAATGAAGAATTGTTAAATTATTTTTATATAAAATAATAAAATAAATAAAAAATATAAAAAATTAAACATTATATTTAAAAAAAATTCTCAATATATAAAAAATAAAAAAAAATTTAATCCCCTCACTATTTTTCTAATACCATCTCTACCTCCTCCTTACCAATCCCCCTTCCTCCTCCTTACTAATACCAAGGGATTACTAATCCCTCCTATCTCTCAAAACAAACACTTCATTCTCAATTCCCTCCTCACTATTAAACTCAATCATCTCCCTATAACCCCAAACAAACGAGGCCTTAATTTGTTAAAGAACTCAATTTTTTACACAAAAGACTATTGTGACAATACCATCACCAAATTTAAAATAAAGTCTCAGGGAACTCTCAAATTACTAAATTAACTAAAAAGTCAACAATCCATACTAAAAAGTCAAAGATTTTCTTTTTTTTACTTTTTGCTTCGTAAAAAATTAAAAAATACCCCAAACATTAATTTTTTTTAACTCATATTTTAACCAAATAACCAAAAAAATTACAAAATTAGCCTGTTTCCAAACAAGACCTTAGTTTCTAGCAGAAAAACAAATCAGATTTACACTATGTTTGGGAACCCAGAAAAGAAAACATTACTTAAATTACAAGAGAAAAGAAAAAAAATAATTTTGATTTCTCTCCTTTTTGTTTGAATAAAAAAAATAAAAAATAAAAAAAATAATTATAATTTTTCTCATTTTTATTTAGTTAAATTTCATTAAGAAAAAAAATTATTTTATGATATATTATTAAAATAACCTTTTTATATTTTCAATTATTTTATTTTTATTTTTATAGGGATAAAATTGATATTATAAAAATAATAATTTCTTTTCTCTCCCAAACTCTCCACTTTTAAAAAGATTGAAAATGAAACTTATAAAAAAAATAAATTTCTCTCTATTTCTTCAAATTTCTCTCCACTTGGGTTGAAATACATATTTCTCAATTTCTTTTCTTTTCTCTCCAAATCACTCAATCCAATCATTTTTTTTTCTCTCCAAACCACTTAACCTAAACATACATAGCGTTAGTAATTGACAACTCAACTTATAAAAAAAAAATTTATTATTTTGTTAATCAATCAAAAATAAAATAAACATTTTAATAAAATAACCATTTTGAAAAGATGATAAAAAATAACTTTGACTTTTAATTAATTTTTTAATTTTTCTACACAAATAATTTGAAAAGTTAGTAAAAAATTACTTTTAATTTTTTTTTGTTAATAACTGTTTATGACGTCAAATCATGATAAAATGACCAAAATACTCCCATTTAATTTAAAATATTTACAACTTAAACTACGTAACACATTTTGACCCATGAAGAGTAAAATTATAATTTCACCAATAGTTAAAAACCAACTTCCCAAATGAAAAAAATTTCAAAAAAACCAATTTTTAACTTTTACTACAAATAAAAAAAAATGACTAAAAACCAACTTCCCAAAACAAGCCATTAAAGGCAATTTCGCCAAGACAATTACCATTGTTTGATATTTCAAATATTGATTAAGAAAATTATCATTTTTTACTCAAACTATATCAAACAATTTGAGTGTATTGTTATTTGTTTTTAACAAGGAATTCACCATTTGATGTACCCTTCAAAAATATTCTACCTTCAATATAGCATAGGCCCGTTTATTTTCAAAAATAAAATAGAAGAGATTAATAATGAAAAAATTGTTAGTAAAAAAATTAAATAAAATTATATTTGTTTTGATGATATTTGTTAGTGTAAGATTGTTAAATTATTTTTATATAAATTAAATATAAAATAATAAAACAAATAAAAAAATACAACATTAAATATTAATATTATAAAAAAAAATGCCAAACATATAAAAAATTTTAATAAAATAAAAAAATTTCAAAAAAAATAAACTAAATAAAATAATAATTTTACTTAACAAAAAAAATAAAAAATTAAACATTAATGTTCAAAAAAAAATGTCTAACATGTAAAAAATAAAATAAAAAATAAATAAAAATAAAAAATTTCTAATCGGCCAGAGTATTTATCTAATACTAAATTTAAAGACTCATCTGAATCCCATCTGCAAGGCCTAAGCCTTTAGCTTAGTGATTTAGTGGTTCCTTCCTCAAATCTATAAACAAATAACAAATTGGCCTCGTTTGGTAGAGCTGTGAGCAAATGATTATAATTTATAAATGTAAACATTAATTGATTTTTGACTTATAAATTGAGTTTCTCCTCCCCACTCAAAAGAATAAATTAATTTTTGGCTTACAAAAAACTAAACTGTATTGTTAAACTGAAAGCTGAAAATAAATCCTACCAAACAGAGCCATTAAATAGAGCCACAGCTATCCTAATCTCGATCACTCTCATACCCAAAACAAACGGAGCCTATGATCAAAAAATAATAATAATAATAATAAATCCAATAATACAAAATAATACCAACAAATTTATATACACTTACAAAATTTAATCACAATCAATGAAATCCCACTACAAACATAACCAAAGTAGAGATGGTATAGGATTCTAGAAATTATATTTTGATGTGAAATTAAAAATGTAGTTCCCCAACGTCCAAATGCATCATGAGAACGAAACACTGGATAGCGAGAGGAACAATTTTCTAGCTTCACTTCAAACAGTTCCAAACAACTGCCAATTACAATGTAAGAAACATTTGAAAAAAGTTCAAAAGGTGAAGCCATACGTAAACTAAATTAAAAAAATATTTATATAATAGACAACTCAGTCCCTTAGATGTTCATAAAGATTTTGCGATCATTTTCGCAAATCATTACAGGTCTGTATTTGCTCATCACTGTTGTCCAATAATCTATCAATAAAAAAACGATACAAGTATTTATTTGTTTGGATTGAAATATAGTTGCCTCAATATTATCAAAAAGGCACAAAAAAATTGCCGAAAAGATTTAATAGAATGAAGCAACACGATCGATTTAGCTTCTAGGGAACGAGTTGTTCAAGAACTAATCAATCTTGACAACCAGATAGCGAAGCTACACATAAACAAAGATCTACACATGCATGTGTATACATCTATGAATCAGATCTAAGAATGAAACAACAAATTTATTGTACGAAAAAAAAAATGAAAGATCAATGAATGAAAGTAGTGAATCGAATGAAAAACTGTAAGAAAAAATGAAAGATATAATCACCGAAACCGAGTAGAGGAATCAGTAGTAGATGATGATGATGAAGAGAAGCATATAAAACCCTAAATCGCGAACGCAGAGAACGATAGAAGAATGGCTGCGGCTGATACTGAACTGAGGGGATTGTTTTATAGGGTAAACGTTAGGACGATCCAACGGTTCATGTGATCTGCTGCGGATGAGCGGCTGAGATTGACGGATTGTTTTTAGGGTTTTTTAAGTTCTTTTTTAGGGACATTGACCTCTCCTAATAATTGTTTTAGATAGAATTTATAAATTAATTTTTTTATTTATTATGAAAAAATGTGTAAAAATATAAAAAGATAATATGATATAAATAAAATAATAAACAATTTATTTATAGTGTTATCAAATGAACTCTAAGATTTAATAAAGTTGTAGAAATCTCGCTTGAAGTTTCTAAGCTTCTGTTTGGGAAGGAAAAGCCCAGGCTTTTTTGGCTAAAATAGCCATAAAAAACAAAATAGGCTATTTTAGCCACAAAAAACAAAACATCAAATCCAACCCATAATCATTACAATCCTCTCTCACAAAAAAAGTCAAAAAAGCCAAAAAGCCAAAAAGTCCTTCCCAAACCAGGCTAAAATAGCCCAGGCTAAAATAGCCAAAAAACCAAAAAGCCAACCCACTTCCCAAACGGAGACTAAAATTGTTGAAACCTTCATCAAGATTTAATTTTCAATTACACAAAAACCTTTCTTGAGACTTATTTTACAATTACACTAACATCTCCTGAAATTTGAAATGATAGAAACCTTCTATAAAAATTTTTAAATGGCAAAAACCTCTCCAGAGGTTTGTTTTTTTATTATAGATTTCATATTATGTTACTTTATCATAATAAAATAATAACAAATATTGACATTATCAAATAAATTAATTATATTTTGAATTTAATCTTATAAAATTGTGTCCAATTACAAAGAAACAAAAAATATATATATATACTTCTTATTTGGGTTTCGAATAAATGAAACATACATTGTCAACAATAATTGCAGACATAATAAAGAAAAAAAATAAATATATATTTTAAATTTATTTATTTATTTTGTAATTGGACACAATATCAAAGGATAAATTTGAGGATGTAATTAAATTATTTGATGAAATTAACATTTTTTTGTCATTTTTTACAATGTCAAAGGGTTTTGGATAAAGGAAGTATACACAATTAACAGTAATTACTATGGGGACACATTTTATGAATGACAACACGTAATTAAGGTGACGCCAAAGTGTCAGTCGAGGTGTCACATAATTTGGTCATGTGTCGAGATGATTTTGGCTAGGCCGAGGTTGTCTACGGAAATACCAAAATTCGAGATAAACAGATAAGAGACAAGAGTCCTAAAACAGAGAAGGATCTCAGTCTAGATAGAGATAAGGCTCAAGAAGAGTTTATCTCTATCTAGATAAGGGTCCAAGATGAGCATTGAGCCTGAGTCCATTGAAATGAGACTTTTAATGGGTTCAGGTCACTGTCGGTTATAAAAGCAAGGCACCCTCGTGGGTCTGAGGTAAATTCTTTCTTGTAAGTTTAAGCATAATTTGCTATCTTTGAGAGATATTGATTGTTGACTTGATCATCAGAATGCCTCCAGTTGGACAAACCACCGCCAGATTCTCATCTTTTTGTTGGCAGGTTGTTGGGCATAATTTATTCTATTGGTGCTCTCCAGTTGAGTTCCCTGTTTGGTTGCATGGTCAAAAATCAACACCCACAATTTGACGCCGTTTGTGAAAACTTAAGGAGAATTGATGGCCAACGACGGACAGAAAGAAAAGATTAGGGATCAACAGTGAGAGTTGTGAACATAGAGATACTAACATCGAAAAAAAAAACGATAATGAGGAAGCACAGGATTCAAATCTTAGGGAGAAGGACGTCGGCAAAGAGGGAAATGTTCCGAAGAAAGCTAGCCGAGATGAGTACTACAACGAAAGCAACCTCCAGGTATGAAAGGATAGATGCCTGAGGAGGGACGACGAGATGAAAGGGATGGCGAACAAGTTGGCAGACCTACAGTCGGTTGTTAACTTCATGATGCAAAACAACATGATACAACCACCGTTCCCGTTGCAGGACAAACTGGTACCAGCAACAAAGACTAAAGCCCAAAAAGAGGGGCATAATACAATCCCATCAGTCTTGCAGCATGGCAAGGAAAAGGAATGCCCATATCGGCCCTTACAAGATGTCAGGCAGACAAAGTCAGTAAAAGGTGAGTCACAAAGGATGCCTCAAACCAAAAGAACCTATGCCAAAGAACCTCGGCATATAGAAGGAAAGGGACTTTGCTTTGATACAGTGAATGAAGAAAAGTCCAAGAGGACACACAATGACGCCAGGAGCAATGCACCAAAAAGGCTGAAATCTGTTAATAGCCGAGCTCCCGACCGAACGTAAGAGGATCTGAGGAACTACCTCCAGAGAAAGTGACTCCATGTCGAGGTAACATCCCTCGTCAAGCCGAGAACGCCGTTCTCAGTGGAGTTCGATAGGTTTGAGGCCCCAAAGAGATTCCATATGCCGAGGTTCCAAATTTATTGTAATACCCTAAATATTTAATTAATACCACAACCAATAATAATAATAATAATAATAGTGGGTGTGATAATAAAATAATTAATTGATTTTTTGTTGGTATGCGATAAAGTGTAATTTAATTAGATTATTAAAACATTTTGGGCCAAATTATAATTAAAAAAAAAAGGACCCTACACGTTCTTTAGCCTAGCCTGTAGATTGATGACTTTGCATGAATGGTTTTAAAGAATTGGTGAGTCGCCTAATCTAGAGGGATGGATGGAAACCTGTTTGATAGATGGTCGAGTGGTAAGCTTGCCATGCGTTAACTCTTGATTAGGGACTAAGAGGTTTTCACCAACTATAAATAGAGGGAGTAGTAGAGTGCTAAGCGGGGGGGCAGCATGCAAATAAACAGGAAGTCGATATTAGGAAAATAGAAGTTAAGGGTCAATATTTAGGTTAGTTATATTATATCTTGAGTCACCATAATATATTTTATGTATATTTAGGATTACCATAAATTATTTTACGTAATCTATGTTTTATAAATTATATTAATATTTTGATTATGTTAATTATTTTTTGAACTCTATTTGCTTAAATTGAAACCCATGGATATGTTTGTTTAACTTTTAGAAATTATTTGATAATGCTTTTATAAACAATTATGTTTTGTAAATACCACTATGGGAGTCTCATGTCTTGGAGACTTAAATAACCATTAGCCTCTATTTGGCCACTTGTTGGTCCTCTATTTGTCATGGATCCATTGACCTTTGTTTTGATTGTCACTCATGTGACCTCTGTTTTGTACCGTGGATATGATTATTTATTTACATAATTTCTATATTTCAGTTTTTGCCACTTTGAATAATTTGTTTATTCAAATTAAGTTATGTATATGTTTTAGCTTAACTAACTATTCATGGTTATTTTGTGTTCCCTGTACTCTTGGCATAATAGTTCTTACTCTGTTGTGTGCTTATAACTGTTACCCTTTCAGGTGACGAGATGTAAGGAAGACCCGTAATCTCATGTAGTGGAACACATACAAGAATTTGATACTAATCCATTATTTTGTTTTTCTTTCATTTTCTTTCTTTTGTTTTTTTTACTGAGGGTCGGTCACTAAATAAATAAATAAATAAAAGCTCTATAGATGTACTTTCTTTTATCAAAGTAATCGAATGAAGTTAATTTTCTATTTAATTATTTTCTTACTTCTTTTTTGCCTTCGCCTGCGCCACTTAATTTGTTATGATTAGAAATTATTTAATAAATTGCGATTCCAGCCCTACGTCCCTGGGGTTGTGTGATAACTCTGTTCCGTACCATGCTAATTAATCTTAGTTAAGGTTGTGATTATGTGTTTAATATGATTTTGAGTGTCATTTATATGACTATATATGGTTTTGAATTTCTATCTATTCACCATAGGAAAATCTGTTCAACTTATTGTTATAAATTGAAAATTGAAGGTCTTGTCGGCCATAGAAACTGAAATTGACTACGCCATTGTGATTGGCGTAATTTTTAGAGCTTATGGTGAAAATTTAATTGAAAATTTATTCGGATCAAAATAATTAGATTCAGAACGATTAATTAAGCTCAACTACTTAGCCTTAATTAATTTGATTAGGCCAACACATATATATAAGTGGCCCATTTACATTTTGAGCTCATTTTTCACTCATTTGGCTGAGATTACACTCTCGAGAGAGTGTGTGTGCCGGTTAGAAAGAGAGAGGGAGCTCAAGTTGAAGAATTAATCAAGAAGCTTAATGATTTTGAAGATCAACTCAAGAATTAACCATAATTTGGGTGATTAGAGCTCCTAGATAAGCATTTGAGTATAAATTCATGTGCATAACTTTGTAAATTTGTGTATTCAAGCTAGTTGGGTAATCAAGAACATAATTTGAGATGAAATTGAAGAATTGAAAGCTTATATGTACATGCATGCATAGAATTGCTA